CCTCTCCCCCCGCGGGGGAATTTCGAAAAATCCCTTCTTAGTGTGCGTTTTCATGGCGTACTGTACTCTAACTGTCTATCAAATTTCACCTCTAGGTTAAGCGGTCTGCTCTGGGCGATGATGAATCAGTGAGTGATTCAGTCAGTCAGTCAGTCAGTCAGAAGAAGCAATTTGATAAATATAGATTATTATTATTATTATTATTATTATATCCTGCCAAATAATTCTGTAGTTAAACGTATTAATTAAATATGAAAAATAAATGTTTTCTAGTTTGTAATGCTCTTGTTAAAACAAAGAAAAAAATTGAATAAATAATAATTTACTATTATATTATTTTAACTAGTTGCTTATAAGTAGTGGCGTTCAAGCCGAAGAGTTTGAAGAAGTTGTTGTAGATGAAGGAAATACAATATTGGCAGATTTGCATTTAGATTCTATGCAGCAATATCTCTATGCTGCTAGTCCTTACAAGGTAAGTAAAAGTCGTTATTAATAAATTATATGAATGAAATCTAACTTGCAGTCTAAAAATTATTTTAAAATTTTTGAAAATTTTTTTTTGTTAAATACGATATTATTAACATTGATTACTTTAAAATTTAAAACATACCTTTTTGGTATTTCAATCTCACTAAATAAATATGAAATTTAATTGATTTTACCTTATAGGTGAGTAAGGTACAAGTTGAAAAATGCCAACAGTATGAGAGTTGTGACCAATGCCTTCAAGCTAGAAATCCATATTGTGGATGGTGCTCCTTAGAAAAGAGGCGAGTTTTATATTTTTATTACTTTTACTACTCATATTCATATAATAAAATACAAAAATTATTATTGCAAAGTTTTATTATATACAAACTATTAAAATAATTTTACTTGTGTTTAAAATTATAAACTATTGTCTATTATTTTTAAAAAAATTAAAAATGTTAGTAATCAAAATAATTATTATGCAGATGCACGGTGAAGGCAGCATGCCAAAATGCAACAGGTGTGTTGACTGATCTTAGTTCTCCCAGGTGGCTGTCTCTCAACACTCAGCAATGCATTGACTTCCAGTCTATCAGACCAGAACATCTTCCTCTGACAAGCATGGCTGTGGTAAGATGCAATCAATAATTGACATGTAGTTTTCTCCTCTTTACCATGTCACTGTTTTCAAGAACATTTATCACAGAAATAATCTTTATGAAAACACACGATGTCTGAAAAATGACAGATGAAACTATATTAGGCATCTTTTATTCAAGAGTAAAATTTTCTATACTCTTATATTATTAAAGGATAACAGTGTACAGTATAAATATATTATATTAATACTCGATACTGAATATTAGAGTTTTTCGTAGTGCGAGTAAACTTGCCATTTTTGCTGACAATGTGATTTAAATGTTATTTATGAATGGTTTCAATTTCTTAGATTGAACTGGCTATTAATCAACTGCCACAACTTCCTTATGGGGCCCACTATCTTTGTGTATTTGGAAAAAGTAATCCTGTGCAAGCTCGTGTGACACATAATGGACTCGCATGTATGACACCAGCAGTTGCAGACCGTCCACCTATTCCAGAAGGAAGCGGTACGTATCTAACAGAAAATAAATATTTTATTTTATTGCAATAACGTAACTTTATGGTTTCTGTCTTCCCGAGTGCAATTATATTTTCATGGAAATGAAATTATCAATTGTATTGGGATTTTGTTTATTGCTTAGTTTTGACGAATAACTATTATTAAATACTTTCATTTATCAAATCCAGTTTCATTGAACTTCTCGTAACACATGTGTGATGGGAATTGCATTTAATAGCAATTTTTCATTCTTAAGATAACCCCTAAATGCCAAGTTGGGATTTAGAAATACCGTCGGCTTTTCTCTCTTTTTTACGCCATTTTAACTTAGCTGTATTTATTCCGTGATAATCAATTGGGAACATGTTTTGATCCACGGAAGTAAATGTTGTATTTTATAGAGAGGAATGCACTCTAGGGAGACTTAGAATTTCATGAAGTGTATGTTTGTGTGAAAAATCTCTTATCTTGAATATGTCACAAGGGTGCAATATTGACCAAGTTGTATGAACATAAAGTTACTTTCATTGGCTGAAATGACTATTATATGCCACTTCTTTGTATTTTTCTTTCGTTATAGATCATGTTTTAGTGGATTTAGCAGTACGATCCAGCGAAACAAATACAGATTTTCTTAACAGAATGTTCGCATTCTATGATTGCGGAGTTCATAAAACGTAAGTTTAAATTGAAATTAAATAATTTTGTTTAAAATATTTCAACTAATAGCTGTAAAATTATAAAGTTTTGCTGTTTTTTTATATCATAAAACTATTTCTCTCTCTATTATTAAGAGTTTGTGAATTTTACTCATATTAAATTATATTAACAAAGAAAACAATGTTCTTAAGATGAAATTAAAATATAAATTTAAAAGATGTGAAGTATGCATTAAATTCTGATGTTTAGTAAGTATAAGGATAGAAAGACACGATTTATTTTAATGTGAATTTTTGAATTTAATTTTGTAAAAGATTTCTAGAGCAGAGATATAAAAATTTCTTAATTAAGTTAAAATCGCAGCTGTAGAAATTTTAAAAGATCAAAAACAAAAACAAACAAAAAAAGGAAAAAGAAGATAATATAGTAAATAATCCTAGATCATAATTCTTTAGTTTATTTAGATACAAAAAATAAATAAATAAATAAGAATAATAATAATAATAATTCTGAATCGAGTAGACGAACCTGTTTTTAAAAATATATATTTTGTTTTGCAGCTGTACCGAGTGCGCGACTAGCTCCTGGGCTTGCAGCTGGTGTCCCCATGAAAATATGTGTACACACAATATATCGTTATGCACTCGTACAATTATTACCGGCGAAAATGTAAGTACTGTATCTCCTCATTCGTGACAAGTTCATCTTTTTTGCAATTTAATTCTTTGATTGATTAATTTTTGTTCTTCGGAATTGATAAGATAAAATACTTTCACATCTAAGACAGCGATTTTTATCGTAGAATCCCCAGAATTCCCTCATTAAAGGACGACAACACTGCCCAAGCTTTACTATTGATAAGGAAATATTGCTGCCAAATGAAGTGAGCAAGGAAATCGCCATTGAAGTAAAAAATCTTCCTAGTGCTCTAGTACGTATTGATTCTTTTTTCCATTTTTTTAATCACTGAAACAGCTGTGATGAGTATTGTCTGATTCTTATGGAAAAGATTTTTGTAATATAACTATTTGTAAACAATTTTCTTCTATTTACATGTTTAGTCAAATAATTACATCGTAAATTTTATATGATAAAATTCATAAATAAAAAATTAATATATTTTATTTAAGAATTAAAAATGTAACGCTGCATTTTTTAAATTCGATAATAAGTTTTTTATAAATTAAAATAATTTATTTTTTTATTAAATGCAAAATATATTTTTCAGGATGATTTTCAATGCATCGTTGAGATCGAAGGTGCAAAAGAACGTGTTTTAGCCACTAAGCAAGGAAGTAGAATCATATGCTCTGAAACGGCGGTAAGCTTCTTTAAAAATTATTTTTTTTTTACACATTTATGACACTTTCTTACGCTAAATACTTATTTTTTTTCCATTCAAAAATAGTATACTTATCAATCAGAAGTTGGAGTTATTCGAGCAACTTTAACCGTATTATGGAATGAAGATACTTTTATTGATAAAACAAATGGTAATGCATTTAATATAACAATATAAATTGTTAGCTGTTTTTTGTTATCTACATTTCATATATAAAATATTTTTATTCACTAGTGACGTTATATAAATGTGATCTACTTGGAAATTACGGTGGCCGCGCAGATTGTTCATTATGTCAAACGAGAGATAGGAAATATCAGTGCGCTTGGTGTAAAGGATCTTGTACTTATGGAGAATCGTGTCTTGAACCTGTTGCTACCTCTTGCCCACCGCCACGAATTGATTGGGTAAGTGATAAACTTGTATTTATCATAGCAGAAACCTGAAAGAATTAATTACTTATAGGTTAACAATATTTTATACACGTATAGGCGGACATAAAACACCTAATCATAATCTTTATACATTTTTTTATATAAATTAATATAAAAATTTTTACCTGCTGATTTAATATAATAACAAAAATAAACTTATTGTATGTGAAGTAAAGTATAACATTTTAGAATAGTATAATGCACTATTTAATTCTTTTCGTATTTAAAATTTAATTTCACACATTATTAACAATACCTTCGATACAAAGACTTCAGTATTGGTATTCATAATTATTATTATGAATACCAATCCAAATAGTAATTTAATGACAAAATTTTATAGCTGTTAATAATAAATGAATTTTGTCATTGATAATAATAACAATGACATAAATTAACGGACATATGACTCTAATTCTTCAAATATAAATAATATATAAAAGAGATATATTATTAGACAATTAAATAGTAAAACTCATTACGATTTAATGATTGTAAAAGCTTTGTTAATGGAATTCGCCGTTAAGAAGTCTTTTGCTATCAAATAAATTTTAAAAAAGTAATTTTTGCTGATTTCTAAAAGCAATTAAAATATTTGTGGTCACTTTTTTAGCGCAATAGGTGTATTACTGGACAGGAAATAATACAGAAACTCATTAAGTTTCATTAATGTAATTGCAAACATCCTGTAGCGAATGTGGCTACTTTTCTTTGGGGACATTTTATATCAATTACTTAAGTTCAAAATACTTATTTTTCCCAAGTTATTTGTAAAATATCACAATAGATTTATCATCGGTTATAATTTTTGTTTCGAGACTTTTACTTCTTTTGAATGTATTGTTAGTAATTAAAATTTGACATATTATAAACATCAGAAGGACAATACAGATAGAAATATCGAAAAACTATAATTATTTATTTCTTTCATATAATAAAATAATTTATTTACTCTGGTAATTGTCTAAATATTTAATTGATCCGAATATAAATTTATTGCCTAAGTTTGTGATGATATTGTACTATTTTTGTTTTCTGAACTCTGAAATGTAAAAGCATTAAGAGATTACTTAGGAAAATTTTGTATTTTCGCTATAAAAAAAAGCTTGCTGTTGAATTAATGATTCTCTGTACTCTTTCTAATCAATAGCAATTTTTAAGTAAATAATTTTTTTTTATTGTAAATCTTTGCACTAGTAAATTTTGTTTTAAAATGTAAAAAGCAATACAATTTTAATTCTTTATAGCAATTAAAAATTTTTAAAAATTAATTTTACAAAATATTGAAAAATTTTAATATCAAGTTAAATTTTTTATGATGTTTTTGGATTTTTACTGGTTAAATCTGAATCTTAATTAATAATGATGGTTTCTAACAATAATTGTCTTAAAATGATTTAAATGTAAAAAAATGGCTTAATGTAATTTATTGATTGTAAATAAATATTTATAAATGTAGATTTTAGTTTGAAAATAAACAAAATAAAGACAATCCGTGTTGATTTTAAAAACGAAAAGAGCATTAAATAGTGTTTCTATTCTTCTAATGTGTTGATTATCTCAGTTCTTATTCTATCATTGGTTGAATTCATTGTGTCAATAACTGTGTTTATGGCCTGGAGAATCAAATTAAATGAAGTACTAATTGTTGTTACAACAATATCCCAGCCATTTAATTACACTGCCTTATCACTGCTGTTTGCATAGCTTGACACTTGCTTGTTATTCTATATTGCAATGTATTATGAATAGTTATTTACCATTTGATACTACAGGCAGAATAAGTATTCTAAATAGTAAATATTTCATGTGAAATATTATCAGGTTANACTGGAAGTTTATCTAGACGATCTGCAATGCATTGTTGATAGGTATCGAATATCATGCTAAATTTATTTTATTTAAATATATTAATTAATATAATAATAATTTATTTTTCGTGTATTAAGGATAATTGTTTAAAATATTTAAATTTTTTTTTTTAGAACTTTAGCAAGTAATAGTCAGATTAGTTGTAGGACAACCCGTGCTCCAGTGCCTTCTTATGACGTTTCTCAATTATTACTGAGAATAGATAATGCTAATTTAACACTTCAGTCACCATTTGTGTATAGAAACGATCCAACTATTCTTAAAATTTCACCATTAAAAAGCTTTGTTAGGTATGTCAAAACTCTATTATATAAATATACATCACGCCTTTTTTTTCCTTTTTTTTAAATTAGCATAAGCATAAGTGTAATTAAGGAAATCGTTTTTTTATTATATTACTTCACGTTATAATATATTGTAATATTTTATAATTTATTCATAATGGTATAAATTTACTTAACACATGCTATCCGTCATTATTAGCTTAAAAGAATTAATGGTTTGTTCAACAAAGAAATTCTAGAAAAGAAAATGGATTTAAATTATAATTATATGACACGTGAAAGAATAAGAATAATAATAATTGGCCGTTAACATAAAAAAAAATTTGAACTAAACATTCGCCTACAGACAATGACTGAATAGAATACTTGATACATCTTATTAAAAATAAAACTGATTATTCTAATTATGCTCCTCTAAATACATTGAATATTTTACTTATAATAATTCTAAATTAAAAAAAAAAATTGCTGTTATTGTCTAAGTAGCCTAAACATGAATTTTTTAAAAATATAAGTAATTTTTCTGTTTAAAAAGTTAATTTAAATATTTTAACATTTAACTTTTTGATATTTTTTAGTAATAGCATTAGTACACTTTGATATACAGGAAAATTTAAACATTTTATTTGTACTTACAAATTAGAAATAGCATTGTTCAGAATATAAGATAGAAATGTTAAAAAAAACACTTGGAGTCTTTAATTCCGTCGACTGTAGATTTGTAATCAGTGATTTACAGTAAGTTATCCGTCAAAAACTCTCATATCTGTATTCGCATCATGATGGGTTCAAAAATATCAGAACCCCAATAGCTGTCTCGTTCCGTCACGTTTTATATCAGTCATACGACATATTTTGCATTCCTGATCTAAACTTCATGCCATTCGCTTTAAGCTATGCTCCAACTACTATATATATGTATACATATAAATATCAATGTCTATAGCTTCTAAAAAATAAAATGCAAAAAAATGATGCAATGGTAAAATTTAGTTTGATGAATTTTACTCAACTATTAAATAAATGAATTTAAAATTGATACAAAGACTTCAGTATTGGTATTCATAATTANTTTCTGATATTAAAAATGTATGAAAAAATTTAATAATTTTTTTAAAAATTTATGAATAGATTCATCCACTCAGTGGACCATTAGCCGGAGGAACTTTAGTGGCGATTGAAGGAAGTAATCTTGGAACGAGTATCGAAGAAATTCAAGATAAGATAACAATTGGAGGAATACCATGCATCCCTGTAGAATATAGTATATCCGTTAGGTAGGCTTGTAGATACCATTTAATATTACATAAAATGTTCCTTTTTATTGTTTAAATTTAATTGTTTAATTAAAGTAATTAAATAGGAGAAAAAAATTATAATTTTTTTTAATTTTTGTTTTTAGAGTGGTATGTCAAACGGGACCATCGGATGTTCCACTTGAAGGAGAAGTAGTTGTGGGAAATAGAGCCGGAATTACAAGAGCTCGCGAGAAATTTCTTTATAAGGTAAATTACAAATTATACTTGGTGTAAAATAAGAAAACAATATTAACTTTATTATTAAATTCGTAATTGAGAAATATAAAATTTATCTAATAGTTGAAGTTCGTTTTTAATACTATTGAAAGTAGAATTTTATTAATATCGACACAGTTAAATTGGAAATATTATATTACATTCTGATATATTTGAAATATTTTTAATGCAGATGGTAGAATTAAATGCAGTTCATCCGAAATCAGGACCACAGGCCGGTGGTACACGTTTATATTTAACGGGTTCGAATCTTAACGTTTAAAAATTTATGAATAGATTCATCCACTCAGTGGACCATTAGCCGGAGGAACTTTAGTGGCGATTGAAGGAAGTAATCTTGGAACGAGTATCGAAGAAATTCAAGATAAGATAACAATTGGAGGAATACCATGCATCCCTGTAGAATATAGTATATCCGTTAGGTAGGCTTGTAGATACCATTTAATATTACATAAAATGTTCCTTTTTATTGTTTAAATTTAATTGTTTAATTAAAGTTCGAGACTTTTACTTCTTTTGAATGTATTGTTAGTAATTAAAATTTGACATATTATAAACATCAGAAGGACAATACAGATAGAAATATCGAAAAACTATAATTATTTATTTCTTTCATATAATAAAATAATTTATTTTTTTATTAAATGCAAAATATATTTTTCAGGATGATTTTCAATGCATCGTTGAGATCGAAGGTGCAAAAGAACGTGTTTTAGCCANTTTTATTGTTTAAATTTAATTGTTTAATTAAAGTAATTAAATAGGAGAAAAAAATTATAATTTTTTTTAATTTTTGTTTTTAGAGTGGTATGTCAAACGGGACCATCGGATGTTCCACTTGAAGGAGAAGTAGTTGTGGGAAATAGAGCCGGAATTACAAGAGCTCGCGAGAAATTTCTTTATAAGGTAAATTACAAATTATACTTGGTGTAAAATAAGAAAACAATATTAACTTTATTATTAAATTCGTAATTGAGAAATATAAAATTTATCTAATAGTTGAAGTTCGTTTTTAATACTATTGAAAGTAGAATTTTATTAATATCGACACAGTTAAATTGGAAATATTATATTACATTCTGATATATTTGAAATATTTTTAATGCAGATGGTAGAATTAAATGCAGTTCATCCGAAATCAGGACCACAGGCCGGTGGTACACGTTTATATTTAACGGGTTCGAATCTTAACGTTGGAAACGAACTGGAAGTTTATCTAGACGATCTGCAATGCATTGTTGATAGGTATCGAATATCATGCTAAATTTATTTTATTTAAATATATTAATTAATATAATAATAATTTATTTTTCGTGTATTAAGGATAATTGTTTAAAATATTTAAATTTTTTTTTTTAGAACTTTAGCAAGTAATAGTCAGATTAGTTGTAGGACAACCCGTGCTCCAGTGCCTTCTTATGACGTTTCTCAATTATTACTGAGAATAGATAATGCTAATTTAACACTTCAGTCACCATTTGTGTATAGAAACGATCCAACTATTCTTAAAATTTCACCATTAAAAAGCTTTGTTAGGTATGTCAAAACTCTATTATATAAATATACATCACGCCTTTTTTTTCCTTTTTTTTAAATTAGCATAAGCATAAGTGTAATTAAGGAAATCGTTTTTTTATTATATTACTTCACGTTATAATATATTGTAATATTTTATAATTTATTCATAATGGTATAAATTTACTTAACACATGCTATCCGTCATTATTAGCTTAAAAGAATTAATGGTTTGTTCAACAAAGAAATTCTAGAAAAGAAAATGGATTTAAATTATAATTATATGACACGTGAAAGAATAAGAATAATAATAATTGGCCGTTAACATAAAAAAAAATTTGAACTAAACATTCGCCTACAGACAATGACTGAATAGAATACTTGATACATCTTATTAAAATTATTTTATTACTCTCTAAATGTAACAAAAATGATTTATTTAAAAATACATTTATAGAAAGTAATAAATTATTAATAAACCAATTATAAACTTCTGAAAATTCATTTAAATATGTATTTATGAAAATTGTATAATTGTTAAAATTATAAAAATTAAATATGGCTAAATAATATTTAATATCATTTCTTCTATTTGAATGTAGACTTTAAATATAGACTTCATTTATTTTGTTAATTTTTCAGTAATTAGTTTACGAATAAAATATTATTTTCTATTAAACATTAATAATCTGTTATTAGTATTATCGGTATAACCTGCAATATATGTATATAAACTGTAAGAATTAATATAATTAAGAAATTAAGACCTGCAAATAGACAAATGGAATAAAAGATAAATACGTATAAAAATTTAATTTTGGAAATAAGAGGATTGCTAATTGTTCTTTTCAAAAGAAAAATATATTTATATCTTTACTTAAAAGCTCTTATTTCATTAAAATTTACTCAAAAGAATTTATTTTTGCTGAGACTGGAATAAATTTTAGTTTCCAAAAAATCGTGTTTACCTTAAATTTTGGTTCCTTAAAAACCGTGTTTACCTTTGATACTCTAAAGTTAAATGTTATAGACTACATATCGTTTAGCCAAGAAAAAACTATTTTCGATGTAAAGGTTATTCTCAAAAAATGATCACTCCTTTACTTCGAAGGATTTTCGAAGTATTGTATAAAAACATTGTTCTTTAAAGTTTTACGATAGAAAATTTACCCTCTTTTTTATGTACCACACTTTTTCTGTATTATGTAGTCTAATTCACGAGACATGTATAGCGTTATCAACTACCCGCTTACATTTTTTATAACTAGAACTTTTAAATTATAAATTGTTGATGGAGATGAAGGATGCGATAAATTAAAATATAAGCATACTTTCACATTTTTTTTCGAATAATTAATTCAATAGATACGATGTGAAAAACAGTTTAAGTAATTAAACTTTTTAATGATTCTAGTGGGGGTCGTGCTGTCGTAGTCATGGGCACAAACTTGACTTCCGTCCAACAACCAAGGATGGCTGTGTTTCAGAATGACAGTATTTTAAATGAAACCGTAAGTAAAACTTTTAGAAATTTTCCACATCCCTTATCTTAAAAAGCCAATTTAACTTAGTCATAATTTGAGTTCTAGCAAATTCATTTTTTAAGATATAAGAAATGTCTTTAGTTTAAAACTTTATACTGTATTCAGCTATATTGAAATGAATCCTGAAGAGAGCATTTATAAAGTTAGACTTGAAAAATTTTCATTTATATATTTTATAGATCTGTGAAATAATAAGCAATGGGAAAATGATTTGTCCCGCTCCATCAATCAATGGTGCTGCTTTGAAAACCCCGCCCATATACAATGAAAACAGCGAGCAAGATGATATCCCTACTTGGAAATTTCAAATAGGATTTATTATGGATAATGTCGATAGCGTACGAGCGTTGCAGGAGAACTTTCCGAGTCTGCACTCTGATCTTATTTATGTGCCAGACCCGAAGTTCTTTCCGTTCGAAGAGGATAGTGTAAAATTATATAAAGGAGAATCACTCGTTATAGAGGTTAGTCCGAAGTTTAGTAGGTCTATATAAAAATTTTCTTGATAATACTTTATCGATCATAAAACAAGAGATGTAAGTTTTGTGGCTTAAAAATACTGCCTGTATACTTACATCTATATAAATTACTAAAGTTATTAACTATAAATTTTGAGTTATTGGCATGGTTATAATTACAATACTTTTGCGCAATTAGGGAGAGAACTTGAGACTTGCAAGTACAGAGACTGAGGTTAATGTAACCATAGGGACAGGAATCTGCAACCTGACTTCTCTAGCAATGACTCAGTTAGTCTGTATTCCACCAGAAGTACAACCTCTAGGGACCGACGAGATTGGTCGAAAGACTGATAACAATTTGCCAATGGTAGTGGTAAGTAATTGTAATTATATAATAACAGATTGATTAAAATGTATTTTTAAATCCTTCTCTTAGTTTACTAGATAATTTAACGATGTTCTTTTATTCAAATTATTTAAATCATTTGAAAATTGCAAAAAGAAAGTTTGTCGAAATTTAAAAAAGTGTTAGAATTCTTTTAATTTGAAAATTGCTCAAGCTCTTTGCGATATTAAAATTTCAAATTGTGTTAAAAATTAATAACTAAATAACATATTGAAAACGTTAGACAAACATTTACAAAAGTTTTTATTATATTTTAAAACTATATATTTAAAAATATATTGAAGACTGCAGTTAATCTGCACAAGGTGATTGAAATCTATTTGAATAATTTAATTAATTCTAATTATTTTTATCGCCTTAATCTTATTATATATTTTAAAAAATATAAATGATTTAGTATTTTAATAAGTCTAATATTTAAAAAAGTATATTTTAATATTGTATAGGTACACGTTGGTAAAAATTTAAGATTTGAAGTCGGATTTTTACATTACGAGGTTGCAAAAAAATACGAATTACCTCCAGCAGCCATTGGTGGTATTGCTGCAGGTGGAAGCATTCTTATGTTGTTAAGTCTTATCATTCTGGCAGTATTACGCCACAAGAGTTCACAAGCAGAAAGAGAATACAAAAGGATACAATTACAGATGGATTCTCTGGAGAATAGTGTGAGATCAGAATGTAAACAAGGTATGTTAAGCAAACTTGTTAAATGCTAGCAATTTTATGCATGATTTTCCAATTAAACGAAGTTAATGCAATTACTTTCAGCTTTTGCAGAACTTCAGACTGATATGACAGATTTAACAAATGATCTTCAGACTACTGGTATACCTACCTTAGATCATAAAAGCTACGTGATGAAAGTGTTTTTTCCAGGAGTTTTTGATCATCCATTATTACAAGATTCTAAAGTAAGTAGTTTATAAAATATAAGCTTACACACCGAGTTAATAAAATGATAATAATGTATATAATGAAAAAAATATTTTTCTTTTAAAATAGATTCAAGCCAACGGACTTTATACAAACTGTGAGTTAGCCATGTCACAATTTGAGCAATTATTAAACAATAAAGCGTTCCTTCTAACATTTATCAAAACATTGGAATATCAAAAATCATTTAGTATAAGAGACAGGTCAGTTTCTTTTAATAAAATTTTTATTTAATTTTATATTAAATTCAGTTTTGTAAGAAATTTTATCGATAATTTGGTTGGATTTTTTTGACAGAGTTAACGTTGCTTCTTTATTGATGATTATACTAATGGAAAAAATGGAATATGCTACTAAGTAAGTAATAAAAATGGATAAAGATGGAATAATAAATTTATTTTTTATTCCAACGTTGTTTTTTTATTTTAATTTTACAGTGTTCTTAAGGCGTTATTATTGCAATTAATTGACAAATCTGTGTGCACAAAACATCCACAACTGATGTTGAGAAGGTAAGGACTTTTGCTTCATCTTTTATTTTATTATTAAACACTTTTAAATATAAGTTTAAACTTGTACATTATTTAAATAATTCTATATTACAAAAGATTAGTTTCTATTTAATTTTAATAAATATAATTGAGCTTTTTTTTCTAACTTTATAATTTATTTATTTTCTGAAAACCGTTTTTAATTTTTTATTTTTAACAAATACGGCTTATAAAATGAAAAAAAAAATAAAATAAAATATAGGGAATAAAGTTTTTAAATAATTAATTATCTTAATCTCTTAAATTTTTTTTTATTAAACAGAACGGAATCTGTCGTTGAAAAAATGCTAACTAATTGGATGGCTCTTAGTATGTATGATTATCTGAAGGTATGAAATGATTATTGTATTTTTTATAATGCTTCTTTAATTTTTAAAAAAATTTAATAACTGTTATAACTCTTACATATATTATCTAATAATATTTCGTAACAAATAAGAATTTAAATTGATACAATTAATTAATTTTAATTAATTTGTTTTGAGGATCATATTTAAAAAACTGCAATTGTAATTATTTATTTTATTAGGATCAAGCTGGTAGTTCGTTATTCCTATTGTTTAGTGCGATAAAACATCAAGTGGAAAAGGGTCCTGTCGATGCCATCACTCACGACGCTAGATACTCTTTGTCGGAAGAACGTTTGCTAAGAGAACAAATGGATTTTTATACAGTTGTACGTAATTTTTCTATTTTTTTTATTTTTTCTACTCTTTTAAGTCTAATAAATTATTACTATGACAAAAACAATAAAAACAGAACAATAATAAGAATTTTATATTTATAGACAATTCAAGTTATACAAGAAGATCAAGATGAAAAGATACAATGTAGAGTAAATGATTGCGATACAATTAGCCAAGTCAAATTCAAGATTTTGGATGCCGTTTATAAAAATACTCCATTTTCTCTTCGTCCATGTGTTCACGACGTCGATTTAGGTATACAGTTTAACTAAAATAATTAAAACACTATACTATTTTTTAAAATAAAGTTCATCACATCACAGTAAATTGAAATTTCTTTAATTTTAGAGTGGAGACATGGCAAGGGAGGACATCTAACATTAGCTGACGAGGATATTACTACAAAGCATTTTAACAATTGGAAACGAATAAATACGTTAAAACATTACGGTGTAAAAGATTCTGCCATTATGAGTCTTGTTACTAAACAGAACGATAGTTTCAGTTCTAATTGTAAGTATGATGATTTAATGCATGTTTGTGTGTCAACAAAGTTCCCGAAATTTATGTTTTGATAGTTTTGATAATTTCGTTCGATTGCCCTCGTTATTAATATCAATTTTAACTAGCATAGAAATATATCAATTGATATAGCGTATGCATATTTACCGATTCCTTAACATATGAATGGCAAATTAAGTTTTCAAACTACTTGAATTTGATAAATGCATTGTGAAAATTATCTAGATATTATGTAGGCTACCCATCTGTATAATTCGTAATTTACATTCTGTGCTTATTGTTAGTTTAGATTTGTTTATCTAATATTACGTTATCATTTCCATTTTGTCGTAGGTACAGGTAACGCATCATTAAATTCTGTCTCCCCGATATTTGGTCAATGTGACGTCGAACAAGGTGTTCGTTTTTGGCATTTGGTCAAACCTGACGACCATCACGGTGTACAAAAAGACCATTTACATAAAGCTATTCCCGAAATATTTCTAACTCGCTTATTGTCCACTAAGGTAACGATTATTTCCTTACTTAAATTTAATTTAAATAATAATAAGCATATGGCGTCATTTACTAGTTTATTTTTTAAAATTGTAATTATATTGTTTTCTTGAATAATAAATAAAATTTTAAATAATAAACTAAATCACGTGACATTAATGAAGAACAGAAATAATTAATTAAAATTTTAAAAAGTCTTATTTTTTGTAATTTCTTTTTTAATAAAATGTAAGATAATTAAAATAGATATAGATAAAAAGAAATTCTTTCATATTGATGGTTTATTGGAGTTACTCAGAGTGAAATTTATGTATAAAAATTAAATTTATTTTAGGGTACAGTACAGAAGTTTGTAGATGACTTCCTCACAACAATCTTAACTGCCAATGATTCATTACCGGCTGCAGTCAAATGGTTATTTGACTTATTAGATGAGGCAGCTGCACAATATGGTATCAGTGATCCAGAAGTAGCCCATGCGTGGAAAAGTAATAGGTACGTAAATGTCATACATAATTACTATGGCTTAATCAACTGCTTGGGTTTTACATTGGTGTTGTAAATTATTAAAAGTTGACATTATTTACTTTCGTAATAGACAACTTTTACAAAAATCAAATTGTTTTACGTGATAAATGCAACTACAGGAAATGTTTTTCGTTTGTTTTAAGTCGTGGCTTATTTATTTGCAAAATTTATATTTTAAAAAAAAACAGTGAAGTGTTTTTTAAATATTTATTTAATTAGGACATAAACGAAAAAAAGAGAATAGACTTAAATATCTTCCATGTTCAAATTTTTACGGAAATAAACATGTAGACTTACCTATTAAGCTTATATTTAACATAAAATTTGAATTATTTTCCAGTTTACCTTTGAGATTTTGGGTAAATTTTATAAAAAATCCCGATTTTATATTGGATATCCACAAGACACCCATTGTAGATTCTTGCCTTTCTGTCATTGCCCAAACACTGATGGATGCATGTTCAACCTCAGAACATCGATTAGGAAAGGTAAAAATATATTATTTCGTTTAATCATGATTAAATATACTATTAATAAGTGAATTACGAATTACTCGAGTTTATTCTATTACAGGACTCACCTTCTAACAAATTATTATTTGCAAAAGATATTCCTACATATAGAAAAATGGTGTCTAGGTTTTATCAAGATATCTCTGCGATGCCAGCTGTAACAGATCAAGAAATGTGTGTTGCCATGCAGGAGCTGTCATTTGTAAGAAAATTTATATATAACTTTCAACCATTAATTTTAAATGCTTAAATAAATTATTGTTGACATTCAAAATGTGTGATTTGTCTTTGTTTTTTATTTTTGACTTTTTAATATATTTTCTAAGATATAAATTAATTTAAAATAAATATAATATATTTTCAAATTTTATAATATTAATAAAAAAAAATAAATAAATAAAATTATATAAATATATTATTTATATCAGGGAATTTACAACCTTTTTTGCTTGTTGATTTCCTTCCAACACTAGATTTAATTCATAATCTCCTTTCTTTACTGATATAAATTAGAAAGAGAATAAATAAAAATTCAACGTTTGTGTTTTACTTTAATAAGATTTAAAGATATATCAATTATTAATATTTATACTATATTTTAAAATATTATAAAAATGAATTTGTCCACTGATCCTTCCAACGACCCCTAAGAATTTATCGATTCCCAGATAAATCAGTTCGCTCCTTGGAATCGCTAGCAACCCACGTTGTGAATCCCCGATTTAAATAATAAAATTATTTTAAATTAAATATGTTTATTTCATATTTATTGCTATATATGAAACAAGAAGAATTCTATTTTTTCTAGTTAAAAAAATTTGTTGATATAACTGAATTATTATTTCAATCTCGAAAGCTTTTTAACAATTGCCTATCGATCTTTTCAATGAAAGTGAAGTGCATCAATACAATAAAATATAATATATTACATCAAAGAAAATGTATAAAATTGAAAATACAGGATGGTTATAATTAAAGTTGCCTTACTCAGACCTGTATAGAGTCCGTCCTCGTTTATGTATTTTGATGAAACTTGGTATATACGTTATATGGACCATGGGGAAAAGGAAAATGCAAAAAAATAATTAGTTCAAATTTCTACCACTAGGTGAAAAAATGGCGCACGAAGAACAACAAACATAAAATGGAAACACGCAAAAGGTTTTTATTCACGACATTTGTTCAATGTGTAATCCATTTGCGTCAATCACATGTTCAAAGCACCTTACAGCATGTTCAACATTAGCCCGATAGGTTTCTTGAGAAAGTGTAGCAATATGGCATGTTATGCTTGCTTTCAATTCAGGCAGAGTTCGTATGCCTCCTCTATAGACACGATCTTTCAGATATCCCCACAACCAAGTTTCTTCAAAATATATCAAAGAGAACAGGCTCTATACAGGTCTGAGTAGGGCAACTTTAATTATAACCACACTGTACATTTGCAGAAATAATTTTAATGTTTTATTAATTGTTATAAGAAACATTAATTTCTTTTTTAAATAGTGTATTTGTCAATGAAATATTTAAAATTTGGCTAAAATAAAGAAATATTTTTGACAAAATAATTAGAAAATGTTAGAAAAAATGTTAGAGCTTTAAATTTGATCGAAATTACATTAAAAAATGTTAATTATATTTAAAATTTAACTAAAATATAATATTTAATAACAATACTTAACATATTAAAAAGAATTTTTTAATATTTTGTAAAGTTTTTAATTAAATTAAAAATAGATGAAACAACATGGATAGTTGTTTATCCATAGTTTTTGTGCTTTGTTTTAAATTTATATTAATTTTATCTAGTTTTTGTACAAGAAAATTTTAATGAGATTTTTTTTTCTTTAGTCTCATAGAGGAGAATTTGACACTCCTAGTGCAGTGAGAGAATTATATGTTTATGCAGCCAAATATAATGAACAGGTAAAAATAAACATATAAAAACCTATATTACATTTCATAATATCATATATTATTTTGACATTTTAACTGAAAAGTTTTTTAAATATAAAATATTTACCTCATGCAATTTGAATGTTATAAACGAATTTTTAAGATAATTTATATATTTTTTAAATTCAGGTTATTGAAGCGTTAGAGAACGATCCATATTGCGAAAAAATGCATTTGGCTCGCAAACTGGAAACTGTTGCATGTACACTAGAAGGTGAACAGACATCTGTGTGTTGACTTTATAAAAATAGATATTGTTTGAGTGTATTCTATTGAGCATTTCACTCTCACAGAATCTACTGCCCCAAATTTCCAGTCCACAAAGTGAGAGTGCTTATGGAATGACAGAAACTATGCAAGATATCAAGAACTAAAATTTACCATCAGATCTTCCTTGGGCAAAGCCAAACCAAAAAGATACAAGTGCGGAAGTATTTTCCTGCATCATTGTTGTATTACCATTTATGTCATCAAAGGATTTATATGTGTGATGATACTATTAAAGTGCCATGTTCATCATCAGTGCTTGGGCATTGTTTTAAATAAGACTTGTAAAAAATTTACAATCAAATCAATATAGGCAAAGAGTGCCTCTGCAATTTAAGGATGCCAGATGTTATCCTATGATATATTGTTTGGTGCAGTGTGGTGCAATCACAAAGAAAGCAGTTTTGTTTTATCTCTCCCAGCACCAAACTGCCAATATTTGTAGCACCATTTTTGAGCAGAAGGTGCATTTTGTTTATCACATAAAAACTCTGTTTATATTGTATTGGTGTTTTTTATCACGTCCTTATGGCTTCCTTATACATTTATATAAGGAAGATTTTGAGTGTCTGTTGTGCTTAAAAAATAAATAAAACAAAATAAAAACTAGTTAGCCAGCCTCGTTTTACATCAATGGATGTCAAGTCATTACGTTCTGCCAATCCTGTTTCTTCTGTTGTGGTATGTGCTGCCAGAAAATAAACTGTGATAATGGTGTATCAACAAAAAATAAAAACAAAAAAATAAAGCACCAAAGTAATTGTCGTCTTTGTTGAATTGGGGAAAATGTCAGCAGCCACAGCTTTGGTGCCTGTGCTTTGAATGTTATTTATTAGGCTGTGATAATCTAGTTAGCAGTCAGCAACTTTTAGGAGCTTTGTTATGCAAACGATTCTTGGTCTGATTTTTTTCTTTTTTTCCCCATTTTCTTAACAAGATCCCAAGGACAGTATAGAAACGAATGATATCAAGATATGAACTGTTTTATTGAAACTTGATTTTATTGTGTGTGCGTGCATGTATGGGGGAAAGTGCACTTTCTGTGGAGAAGTATTTTTTTATATCAAGAGCAGTAACTGTAACAGAAGTCTGAAGTCAATAAAGACCAATGGAATCTGGTAAGATGTGTCATCTGTAGTTTAGTGTGAATGATTATTAAAATGACAGATTTCTTATTGTGAAGCTAAATGACTTTGTCCATTTTAGAAAAACTTTCACATTATTTTCTTATGCCAGTTATTAAATTTATTTAAAAATAGATAAGTTACAGATTTTAACGGTAAAATTAAACAGCGACATTAAAAAACTCGTTTTCTAAGCCAGATATAATGTGTTATACAGTTAAAGGCATTAGATAAAGTCGATAAAATTATTTTCATTTTGTAAATTTTACATTTTACAGACTTGGATTTATAAGACTGCATAACTAAGTTTAAGACATCAGTTCATTTCTTACACATCTCTTCACCGAATTAACTTTTACATATTAAAATTTACAATAAAATTAATTTAAAAAAATTAATGTATTATGTTTACTATAGTTCTAGTAAAGTTAATGTTGATCGTTTTTTATAATAAAATGTGTAAAAAATTTTTCTAAACTGTAACAAATGAAATTCGTTTATAATTCTCACACAAATTATAATTGTACAATATTTACGATTTTGTATATTTTAAAATGATGATGAATTAAAAAATTATATTTATTTCACACAATTTTTAAATCTAGAAAAAAAAAGCAGTAAATTTTTATGTAGTGTTTTAATATAGTGAGATCCAGTGTCATTTACAAACTATGTAAATTTCTAAAAAAATAAATAAATTTTTATTACTTGCATAACAAAAGTATTTTCAAATATAAATATATATTCAAGATTTAAAATCTATATATTACTTTAACAATTTTATTGCTAAATATTTATCTGAATCATTGGAATTTTTGAAGCTACATTACTTTAGTTTACCAATTTTAATGGAAACACAGCGTTGTTATTTTTATTTTATTTTTTTCATCAAGAGCTGTTTGCTGGGCTTTTTCATCAACAGTTTTGCCACACAATGTGGAAAATAACAAACTAATGGGAATAGATTGACAGCTTTAGAGAGACTAGCACTCAACTTCCGGTGCTACTCCTGAAAGAATCACGTCAGGAAGACATTTCCCCTCTAGCAAAAGCGTGATTTCGCAATTGTTGAACAAGTTTACATCCCAAGTTCTATCAGATAACGCATCCCGCCTTCGTTTGTAATTCTTGTTTAAAAGCCTCTACAGAATAATTTGCTCACATCTAACATTGTTTTGTTCTAATGCATCCATTCACTCTCTCAAGTTGATGTTCCTGCCTCCGATTGATAATTTTTGATGCTTGTAAAATTTAACTTTTGTTTTATCAAATGGAAACAAATAATACCTTAGAGATTTTATGAAACAAAAAATCTGACAGTGATAAGATGCTAACTCAATTTTCTACAATAACGTATGTGAAAAATTGTCGCATTTACTCTTTAAAAATTTTTCTGCGTGTTCGTGATCAGCGAGATGAGGATTTTTAACTAAGCAATAAATTTAAAACTACATAAATATTCGTTATATATATTATATTTGATTAAAATATAATAAATTAAAAATTAATTAAATTAAAAATTAAAAAGCATTCTCTAAATTTTCTCTTAAAAATAATTATTTAAAATTTTAAAAATCTTATTAAAACCTAACACGTTAATAAATAAAGGCGTAACTTTTAATATAATTTTAAAAACGAATTTAATAATATCAAAAAGTATCTTGTGAACTTTAACTTTTCATCCACTGCACTTCTAGGAAATTTTATATATCTAGAGGGATCCGATATTATATTCAATGTCTAAAACCAATATCTCTATCCTTTGGTGGACTATAAAATCGATAGAAAAAACATAGTTTTTCTTTTCTTTTTATAAAATATCTGTTCGTAAGTTTCATATAACTATTGCCATATCACATAGAATTCTTTCTTCATATTGGAATTACGAGTATAATCTTATAAGAAAAATATGATAGTACTTGCTTAAATGTTTATTTAAAAAGAAAAAAATATGACAAACGTTTCGTAAAAATATTAAAATGTGATGGCTTATATAGTGAAAATCTTCAAGATTACCTTTTATATTTAGATATGAACGGAATTCGTATGGGAAGACGATAAGTTATAGACCCACCTTGCCAGCATTCTTTAACGTTCAAGTTTATATTTATGTACGATGGGTCAGCGATAACTGTGGCACTTGATTTACTGTTTCAACACCATGAACCGCTATACAGATACGTGAATACGCATGTTCAATTACTGAAATTCCACATGTTAATCATGTTTCAAAGTATTGCCATTAATGCACCGACACGTCATAATTTCCCCAACTCACCTTTAACACTTCGTCTTACTGATTTAATTTACTTTGAATTTACAAAAAAAGTAAAATGAATTTACAAAAATTTGGCAAATGTTATATATTAAACACAATAATGAGCCGAACATCACGTTTATTTCAATAAATGTTGATTTAATTGAATTAATATCAGTTGAACTAATTATATTCATAACTATATGAAATGCTACATTTTTATTTTATTATTATTTAATATTGGTTCGGACATTTTTTAGATTTTATAAGTAATTCGAACTAATTAGTTTCATCATGTAGTATCATTAACGATTCATTTTTTTCTGCCTGAAAAACAAACCAAAATGCAATTATTTTAAAATGAAATAAATAAAACAAACAGCATTTACAAGTGAATCATAATTGAAATTTTGAATTATAATACATAAAAACTCATAGATTTAATTTATGATAAAAATGTGTTACACGCTTTTTCATTTTTTCTCCAGTAAATGACAAAAAATATGGAGAAAAAAAAGATAAAATATAATTTGCAATTTATTTTCATTAATCGCGTAGCGATGAGTTTATCCAATTCTTTCGGGTAGATGCGAATAAATTGAAAGTTGTTAAAAAATAAACTCATTATGCATGGTCAAATACCATTTGTTTCTATTTTGAATAAGAATTTTTAAACAGATATAGTGAAAAAAAATTTTTTTTCTTATTTCCTCTGTAAAAAAGTTCTTTGGAAATGCTCATAAAAAATTTCCCCCTTTTATATATCTGCATTGCTAACTTGAAAAAATTCTTATAAAGAACAAATGCGACTTTCGCTAGCAAAATCAATATAACTAGCTGAATATTTCTTCGGCGTTTAGGGCGTACATATTCAATTTTTAAACTAATTTTTGAAAATTTTGTTAAATATTATTTGAACATTAAAAAAATAAAAAGAAAAAAAATAGCAAGATTCCACTTAAAAGTTTGGTAGACTTAATTAAGAAACAAGTTTGAATTTTTACTTTTTTTGTTTTTTTTTATTTATTAAAGAGTCAAAAATAAAATTTAACTTTTACATATATTAAGCAATCAATATGTTTTTGTTTTTTTTTTTTTGCTATTTAATTTATGAAAATTATATAAGAAAACTCATCAGTAAATTTTAAAAACTGTCTCGTATATCAATCGATTTTAGTTTTAGTACAGTAAATTAAACGATGTATTTTCGATATTAATCGCATATTTATAGAAATGATGCACTTTTGTATAGAAATTTTCAGCAGGTAATTTGTCATTTACCGAGGTGTTTAATTTTTAACACACGTTTACATTGCACAACTTCATTAAAAGTTGTTAAAGTTCGTTTAACACGGGGGAAAAAAGTAACTTTCAACCACTTTAAATAACAATTTGGCGATATTATCGCTAAGGGATTAGATTAAATATTCTTATTTATGTTAAATCTGGGTTAAATCTGGATTAAAAATATAATATTAAAGATAGGCAACGTGTCAAATTGATTATTAAAAATTTCTATTGAGAGAGGATAGATACGTGGATTACAATTGATTTAATGCCCTACATATTTTAATTTAGAGGCTTTGGAGAACCCATACAAACTCAAGTTATGTATCTTACTTCAATTAAAATGAATTAATTAAGAAAGCCTCCACTTTTAATTAAAATTTATAATTTTATCGATTAGCCGAGTTTACGGTTTGTATCGTAAACCACTCTGTATTTTAATATCGATTATTATAAAAATGTTAAAAACTGCAACAACAGCGAAGGGAATTTTTTGTTGTTTGTTATTTAACAGATAATTTTTTAAAAATATTAATTTTATATAAGAAAGTTTTAAATTTCTCGTAGGATAATTATTTTAAGACGGGATGTGTTAATTCTATAGTAACTAATATCCAGAATTAGCGTCGGTTTATTATGAAGCCTGTTGGTTTCGCTTTATTACAAGCTGTATAAATTGTGCGTCAGCTTTATTACAGAGCCTTTTAGTCTACTGTCACTTGATTATAGAGCCTGTTAATTTTATGCGAGTTTGCAACATACTTATAAGTTTAAATTATAGAGCCTTCTAATTTTATATCAAATGTATTAGCCTGTTAATTACTGTCAGCTTATAACAGATAACGTTAACTTCATTATAAAGCTGTTAATTCTATATAATTTTATTAATAAAAAGCTTTTAAATCATTGTCTGTTTATTATACTTCTATTTCAGTTGATGAAAATCTTTATTTTTTTTATTTGTTTCTTAAAATTTAGTTATTGCTGATGTGTATCATCACATTTATGGTGAAACTGGTGAGAAGTTGGAGTGACACAATAGCTAATTGATAACAAGGCTGCCTATGCAGTAGTGTTGCTTTAGTATTCCCGCCTATTCCCTCGCTCACAACACAATCACTCCAGCTCTGTGCATATAATTCCAAACCAGTAATTAAGTAAATGGACCTAGCTATCTTCTCACCAACAGAATTTTAATTTAATAGCTCTATACTACAAACGCGAGTTGTCAGCTACACCTGTATTTCAACTATCTAATGACATATTCAGAAGAAAGTAATTTGAAAAGTGAATGTGCCACTAAGGCAGTTAAACAATTAAATGTTTATGCAGTTTGATATTTTTGATGTTAACCATTCTGTTGTTACTCTCACTAAACTACATAATTTACTAGTTACATATATGTAAGTAACAAATATCTTACAATTGCGGGCCCTGTAAATATTCGAATATAGATTTATTAGAGATAGGGTTCTTCTACATTCGATATTTTTGTATATTTTTAATTCTTTTGC